ACTGCAGGAATTCAGAGCAGAAAATGGGAGGTCAGGCCTAGGTGGAAAAGGAAAGGGGTCTGAAGAGTTTAAATCTAACTTGAGTCAAAGGACTGGCTCAAGTGAGCAGGTCCTTTGGCACCGCATGGTTGATCAAAGGGAGGGACATGGAGGTTCTGGGAGCCTTCCCAGGCTGGGTCAGACAATTCCCTTGGGATGTCCATCAAAAAGTGATAAAAGATGCAGCCTATGCACTGATTTCATAGAATCAGAGAGTGGTTTGGATTGGAATGGACCTCAGAGACTATCTAGTTCCAACATCCCACCACAGGCAGGGACACTTCTCTTCTGTTTAGCCCTTTCTATCTGGCCACAGACCATCAAGCACCAGGATGTGCCTTCCCCTTCCACCACTCTGCAGCTCTCCAAAAACCCAAGTCCTCAATAAATCACCTCCTCCAACACCATCCCAAATGACTCCCATATTACCAGATGGTCAGTTACAATTCTAAGATATCAAACAACATTTATTTTATTGTATGCTTATGGCTGAGATTCAGAAATGAAACAAAAAAGAGAGTTAAAGCCAAATCAAAAATTTGGAAGCTTTCCTCCCACTCAGTTTGTTTTCAAAAATATCCCATTGATTTTCAAACACATGTTTTATTGACTCCCAGCTTATTGACTCCCAATTACTCCTAAATTACTTCTGTAATTTCTGCTCTGGATACTGAAATGCCTTAAGACACCTTTGGAAGTCAGAGTAATTTCTATTTACTATTTTGTTCTATTTATTATATTATTTCCATTTCCATAAAAGTGTTTTGTCATTTTCAGAGTTTGCTCCCTTGTCTTTTTTACAGGAAGGCAAGGGATGGGAGCCAGATTTTACCAACAAATTTAAGAAACAAACAAAAGGACAAAGAGAGAGAAGATATAGAAAAGTAAAAATTTTGAAAATTATCCACGTGTCAAAGTTTTCACAATATTGGAAAAAAAATTGAAATTAAAAACATTTACATTTATAATTACACAAAGGAGAATTAGAAGCCAAATGAATTACCAAACCAAGATGGCTCCAAATGTATTTGCCAGAATTTTCTGCTTTATTCCAATTAGCCATAACTTTATAATTTGCCTTTTTTCTCTGCACTAGTCATTCCAAGACAATGTCAGTGTTGAGTCCATAAGCATTTTGAGAATTAATTAAAATGTCATGAAATAGTTCTTTCATTAGCATATATATGGTCATAAAAATAATTATAATTACTTCTTAGAGGTGGAGGAGAGTTAAGTTTGATTGATGGAATTAATGAAAACGGGGACAGCTCCAACATACTAAATAGCAGAAACGTGGAGTATTAACTATCTACTGTGTGAAGTTGGAATAATTACAGCAAGGGCTGAAAAGATTAGTATTCAAAAAGAATAATGTACCTTAGAGCCTAAAATACCCGTTGCAAATTGTGAATGTATTTTCGACTGTTTATAACATTCTCAGAAGAAAAATATCATTTTGATTAACTTCCAAAGACTCCCAGATTAATAGGTATTTGCAGTCTTACAGAGAGTACAATCAATCCCTCTAATCTTGTTATCAGATGCTAAACAGCTGGGTGACCTGATTTAAGTGTTATGATTTTAAGGAAGTAATAATGTATAATAGTTTCCAAATGCCTGCTAAGAATTTGCAAGCTGTATAATACACCAAAAGATATGCAAATAAATGGCATTAAAAGAAACATTATAATTAGCCCAGGAATGCACATAAAGCGCTTGTGCAGCCATGAGCAACCTAATCTTATTTCAGTTGTGTTCCTTTTCATTTAGTCTCTCCTTTAAAGACCTGTAGCACAGCAATGATGGTTTTGGAAGCTCAGGTGAACCCACCCTGAAAGTGCTGTTAAGCTGAATAAAACCTTTTGATTCGGTAGTTCACAGGATGGGTCAGATTGGAAGGGACCAGTGGTCCCACCTCCAGCTGGGTCATCCCAGAGCATATGGGTTGTGTCCAGAGAATTTTGGAACACCTCCAGCTTGGAAGACTCCACACCCTCTTTGGACAATCTGTTCCAAGAAGTTTTTCCCCATGTTCAGGTGGAACTTCCTGGGCATCAATTCCTGCCTGTTCCTCTTGTCCCAGAGCCTGGTCCATCCTCTGCCATCATCTGACACACATTGGGAAGGTCCCCTCTCAGTGTCTCCTCTGGAGGCTGCACAGTCCCAGCTCTCTCAGCCTTTCCTCATCACAGAGATGCTCCTGTCCCTTCAGCATGAATTAAAACCCTCTAATAAAACCGACCACAATTTGCAAGAACATTAAAAAGTTAATATATAATTGGTACATTCATGATATTTATTGTTCTTCTCCATACAGTTAATGTGCAAAAAAACCCCAACAACCAAGCAAACACAGGGCTAAAAGTGTCATTTAACTCCCTCTGTGGGGTCCACATTGTGAACAGTCCCCTTGCTGAGGTGGAAGTCGTCAAAGCTTAATTCTTCATGCAGAAACAACTAATTTTTTTAACACACTTAATTCCTTTGTCATTCACCCCCCCACCCCCATTATTATAAGTTAATTCCAGATGGCAGGTTGCTGATTTTTTTTCTTTTTTAAGAGCAACTGCTAAGTTTATGAAAAAATATTATGCAGAGGCATTAACTGCGTTTAAAGGTCTTTTCTTTTTTTGTAAGACAGTTCTAATCTCACATTCCCCCTTCTAATCACACAAACAGTTTAGGCTAAAAAAGCACTCCATGGTAGGAAGAGGGAGGGAGTGGGCACCCACAGCTGTGCCTGCTGCTGCCAGGGAGTTTGTTTTCCATCCTTGTGTTGATAGAGATGCTCTGACAATTGTGCTGCCAGATTCTCACAAATGCCATGTTTTGCAAACTGCCAAATTAAGGAGTGAAGATCTTGGGTTTTAAAGCATTATGTTTTAAATATTTCTCTTTTTTTTTTTTTTTTTTGCTATTAAGGGAGCATATGGTGGAAAGCAACACATTTTAAATGGTCTTACTGATGGCTGGTGCCCAGGGGAGGATTACTCTATTAAGAGGAGTATGAGCTACTTGGAATTATTGATCAGAAACTTCCACCAAACAGTGGAAATACCTGTAGTGTCTCATTGAAAAAGGATTTAATTTGTGCTTTTCATTCTGTTTGAAAAGAAACTACTGCCACAAACTTTCAGCCAACTGAGTGCCCCTTCCCTTGAGCTGGATGTTATAGGGATGAAATTGTACATTCTCCCTCTCAGACTTGGTTTACAACTCCTTGTATATAAACCACACATGCTTTGGTAGGACAGATTTATCTTCAGCACTGTAATAGAACTGAGGAATCAGATGAGCCTGGAATAAAGCATTGCAATTTCTAAACCAAACAGCAGCAGGAGGACAATCACAGGGTGCCAAGGTCTGTTCCAGGGTTACTCCATTCCATAAGGATCTGTCATGTCAGGGAGGGCTCAGCCACCCAAAGAAATATTTGCAACCAAGTTGTACAGGATAATCAGAGAATTCTTCCTCCTACCAAAGGTGCCTTTGCAGCTAACATGGATCTCCACACGTGCCCCCTGTGTTCCACGAGGGCAGCTGTGCCCCTCAGCCAGGCCTGGCAGCTCCTGTTCCCTACAGAGCACCCCGTTTTTTACAGGGGGACTCCCTGAACTTCTACTCATTTATTTCTTCCTCCTGCATTTCTATGACCAGCGTCTTAAACCCAAGAGTTCCCTCCCTTCAAACAATTGTACTCCCTCTGTGAGTTGAGAGTGGGGCTTTCATCAATTATTCACTGCTCTGAAGATGTAAGAACTATCTCAGGGCAAATTTGGGTTTCTTCTCACTCCTCAGAAGCAGGAGTTGGAAAATGTGTGCACCTCAGCAGGGAGCACATGGGAGCTCCACTCGCTTTTAAGGGAAGGAAAAATCCACCTCTGGCACACTCTCCTTGCATATTGGAATGAGGACCTCCAGCTCAACAGCATTTCGAAGACTTATAAATAGGGATGTTGAAAGAGACTGACATTTTTCAAGTAGAACTGTCAGAATTATTTCATACCAGCTTCACCTTTTTTTAATCTTATTCATATTTAACATTCTCCATAGAGGGTTCCTACCTCCAAAATTAAGAAAAAGAAATGTAGGTAAAGGAATGAATTCAGGTTTTTTTTAATGCACATTTTGCTTTTTTCTCTCTTTGGTTTTCCCCCAATATCATCTTGATTGCAACTGTTAAACCAATGACATTAAAGAAGTTTTCATATGGTTTTCCAATTAAATATTCCTCTATGTGATGATGCAGATTAATTAATTTGGCATAGGAAATAATGTATATTCCTTAACATACCATGAGTTACATTTTCCAAAATCTCTCACCCCTCCTACAATAATTTTTCCCAAAATCACCACTGATAAACCTTTCAGTGTGTCAAAAGAATTAGGCTAAATTTAAGCTTTTCTGATAATCCTAAATAATGCTGAGATCCCACTGTTTATCTTCTAAAGTATTTACCATGAAATAAGAAGAGTAAGGCTCAGAAGAGTAGAACTATGCTTCTTAATTTAAAATAAATTTGGGGTTTCCCCTCTCTCTATCCCAAGGAAAACAAACCCCAGCAACAACAAAGCCCTGGAAATGGTCCTTATAAGCACAGCTTATACTACTGAGATTTCTACGTGCACATTTTACAGAAAATATAATCATTAAAAACTAACTCCAAAAAAAATCAGGGTCTAAGGAGATTATGAATAGAGGATATTGTTGGCTTTGTTTTTAATGAGATACTGCTGATTTTTTCAAAGCTTTTTTATTCTTATCCACATTTGTACTCACATTCAGTATAACCCAAGTTATTTTCAACTATTCAACAACTAGTTCTGTTAAACAGGACAAACCCCTCACATCTCCTGCCAGTTTAGAAATATGCAGGTGCTTGCATCTTTCTGAGCCTTTGTGAATATTGTACAACTTTCAAGTCTAACCTACTTTTCCTTCTCTTTTTTTTTTTTCCTAGAAATATTCTATAATCCCTTACGAACGGTGCAAAAGATTCACAAATTCCAACTACTGCATAAAGTGGCAAAAATTAACATCTTCAAGACTGTCACTGAGATGGGTAGACATCTCCCCCTCCCCAGCCCCAGCAGGCTGGGCTTTGATGAGCCAGGCTTTAAAAAGGAATTTTTAAACCTCTCAAAACCTATAGGAAAAACATAATGGAAATGATGAATATCCTGCAAAGTTACCTGTTCTCCCCTGGATCAAAACAAGTTGGAACAGACTGAAAAACAGGACTTTTTACCCCGTTAAGTTTATTATGCTCTGCATCCCTGAAGTACTGTGTTTCCCAAATGGCCGAGTGTAGGAATTCTTTGGATAATGGTGGGTTTGGGTTTCAATTTTCCCCTGTCCCTGAATCAACCAAATAAGTAAGCCCATAAATAAAACATGCAGTGCCTTGATGGGTGGAAATCCAGACTGGGTTTGGAACACACGTAGTTTATTGACTCAGAACATATGATTTTTGGGACTAGGAGGCATCAGCTTCTTCTGATGTCCTGAGAACTAGAACTGCCCTCCATTCACACCTTACAATGCAGCTGAATTAAGAAAACACTTGTAAAATGCAATTTAAAAATATCCCATAATGCAATTAAAAAATACCCCATAATATATTTTAAGTCTTGAAGGAGAACACAACAATATTATATCCCCATTCTAGAATTTGATTTAGGAAAGCCACAGAAGAGGAAAACCACTGAATTCTGCAGAGGTTCAGCCTGTTCATCTCATAATTGCATCGGGCCAGAAGAATAAAAGTAATCCTTTGAATGAAAGGAATAAATCTGCTGGCAAAATCTCATCATAAAAATCTACTTTGGTTATGTAAACACAGAGAATGCTCCTGTCCAAAAGATCCAGTGAAAACTGAAGGGAAAAAAAAAAACAACAGCATTCTCAGCTTCAGAGTACATGACATTTAATTACCAGAGGCTGCTCTTCACAGAAGATGTACAACAAACTGCAGGTCTTGTTGCACTGCAGGAAACTATTATATTATCAAAGATTTATTTCTTAAAAGTGCAGCCACTTCAGCTAAAGCAGCCAATGATACAATCCATGCAGGAGAGGTGGCTTGGTGGTGGTACTACAGAAAACAACAGCTTTTTTGTTTCTGACAAATACAATATTTCCTGCTCATGACCACTAAAAACGGGACAAATCATCAGCTTCAGCCTTTCTGTTTGTTCACTGAGTCTTTCCCCTCCAAAGATGCATTTCCTTTTAAAAGAAATTCCATGTTAAAATTTTCCAGCCTTTCCCAGTGCTCCCCTCAGACACACAAGGTGCGCTCACATGCATCAGCAAGGCTCCCTCCACCCCAGCCTGCAGACCCTCCTCCACTATATTTTCTACCACAAAATATTGTATTTTTAGACCTTCAGAGAGTGTAAATATTTGTGAAATCCTTACCATAATGTTATCCTCTGTCCCCTGAAAGAAGGAACCATTTCCCCTTTCGGGGTGGTCATAGGGCATCAAAGATGTCTCCATTCTTTGATGGTTTCTTTATACAAAGACACCCCTACAATAAAAGTTTAGGAATGAAATGAAGAAAAGGAGTGAAGCTTTTATATTCAAAAATCAAAAGTAGTGTTGCTTATTTTATAGGGAAGAGGGTCAAGAAGTGAAAACATTGTTTTCCTATATTAAAATGCAGCTACATGAGAGCTGTGATTTTCTGCTGTAGGGAAAGCACTGGGCCTTTAATCATGACATTTTTATAGCTATTGAGAATTTAGATCCAAGTAATAGGCCCTTGAACATCAGAATTTTGCTAAAGACTTGAAAGAAGTGGTTAACTCTTGTTTGGACTGTAATACTCAATTGATAAAACAATCATTTCCCCCTTCTTTCTATAAAAAAAACACCTCCAAAGGATAAAGTTTTATTTCCATTTTCTGCCTTAACAGCACTTATTTTACTAACTCACCCAGATACCAGATTGTGCAATAAAGTGTTGATACACACAAGAAAAAAATCAAAACAACCAACCCAAAACTCCAGGTTATGACACACACACCGAGAATTTGCTAAAATATAACCAAACTTGTTTTACAGGCCACTGCTCTGGGATATGTATTTTTTACTCAACATCTTTGATTATGCTGCCACCAGCAGCTTTTAAGACATAAAAAGGCAAATGACAGGTGCTGTCAGTGACTGGAACAAAAGCTGTGGAAGTTCACTGAGCGTGTAATTCGGCAGATTTTAGCAGAGCCGAAAACCCACCGTGGCTTTGACTGACTTGATCTTTCAGAAAAAGCTGTTTGAGGGGAGAGAGTCCCGAAATAATGAATTGGATGGAGCGTTACATAACAGAGAACTCCTCGGGGTCTTGTCTGCTGCCTTATCTCATCAATTGTAATGATTTTCATGTTAGATCAAAGAAGAGCATAAAACAAAACTGAGATGAAAACAACTATTCATTGCCCTCGAGTGAATAGTTTTTGTTTTAAGACACTCCTAAGGAGCACTGGAGAAGGTATTTCTTCCTTTACACAAATCACTGCTCTGTAATCTGTTTTGTGACAGCACTAACAGCTCCACTGGTGGAGGCACAGACACCTAAAACAAGTTTATCTGTTATGGGTGGTCAGGTGAAGCCACTATTCCCTTTGGGATTCGTTTTTTTAAATTTTTATGAGGAATGGGGATGAGAAAGGAAGATTGCCTGCACAATAAAAACAATTAAAGAAGTACAATTTTTGATTTGAAAATAAAGAAGAAAGCAGTTGGTAGCTTTTTCACCAGAAAGAAGGGGCAGGAATACGTCAAATTTCGTGTGTGCAGCAAGAGTGATGTTTGCTCTGCTCCATTCACCACAAGATCTTTGTCCTGGGAAAAATACCAGGGAACAAGGACACAGGGAAAGATTTTCCCCTCTCTCAAGGATTAGTAGAAAGTTATGGAAAGTAGAAAAAATAGTTATGATGCAACCTTTTAAGACACTCAGAAGCAGCATCAGAAAAGGTATTTCTTTCCGAACACAAATCACTGCTCTGTAATCTGTTCTCTGACAGCACCTCCAGCTCCACTGGTGGAGGCACAAACACCTCAAAACAGGTTTATTTGCCTTTCCTCTCTTGTCATGGGCAGTCAAGTGGAGCCCCTGCTCCCTTTTGGGATTTTATTTTAATTTTTTGGATAAGAGGGGGAAGAAAATAAGATTGTCTCCATAATAAAAACAATAGGAAAATACACCTTGGGATTTGAAAACAAGGAATACATCCAATTTCAGGTGTGCAGCAAGAGTGATGTTTGCTCTGCTCCATTCACCACAAGATCCTTGGCTTGGGGAGAACACCATGGAACAAGGACACAAGGAAAGGTTTTCCCCTCTCTTAGGGATAAGGAGAAAGTTATGGAAAGTAGGAAAAATAATTACAATGGAACCTTTTGCTGGTGACAGAGCACCACCATCGCTTGCCAGACCATTAAGCTCAGGGAACAGGAATTTCTGAAAACTAATTTATGTCCAAAAGGACTGTTGCATCATGAACATGGTATCAAATTCCAAGGAAACACATTTTCAGCAGAGATTGATCCTACTAAAGTTCAAATATTGGTAAATTGTACTGGTTAAAAGGGGCAGTTTAATTTATCAGGTTGCAGAAATTAGGAGAGAGTTTAGCCTTGTTCTGTGAACTCCAAGCAGTTTAGAAGACGACACTGAAATCAGATACATTTAAAAAGAATCTTTAAAAGTGCAAGTTTAGGATGTTTCTTTTTGCTAAAACCATAATTGTGTATTTACCACAACTATTAAATTTAATTTCCACACAGGGATACAGTGACACAGAGAGGGGATTTTGAGGAATGATCTACTAAAAAAAAAATAAATCAGAAATTATTTTTCAAACTGAAAGACAAGTAATTTTTTTTCCTTTCTTCATGCATTATGAATGAATTAATTCCCCTAAAATTCTTAATACAGAAATATTTTATTATAGTTCAGGAATAAAAAAAAATATCTCATGAAACCTAAAATGAAAATGCTTATTATCAGAAATGAAAAAATAATAATTTGTCAAAGTTAACTTCATCTTCAGTTCATGAAATATTCATGAGCTGAGCTTGAGTCCTTTAAATTTGTTTTTTGGACCTATGTAGTATTTGCTCCCTCCAAAGTGTTTTATTATTGATCAGCACTCTGGATCTCATGTGATCCTTCCTGTGGAAAAATCACATTTCATCCCTGGAATTTCCCTCTCTTGATTGGATTAATAAGATTTTCTAAACCAGAAGTTCTTGATGTTATCTCAAGGGCTTTGAAACACTCAGAGAGGGTTGGAAGATAAGTGGGTTAGGAAATGACAGAAAACACTAAAGCTTTTCCTTTCTGGCTCACTGAGGCCTCAGAGTCACAGCTCCCACAGGATAATGTAAAATTTAGTAGTTGCTTACAGAATTTGAATTTAATTTGCCTTTTTCGGTGGTCATGTATGTGCATGAGCTGAGAAATGAAGGAAGGAAGTGGATATTTCCCACCTGAGCCAATTGCATGGCTGGGGATCTCAGGATCTGCCCCTTTGCTGGGGTGAATTATCCACTAACACTGCTAACAAATTTTCTTTAGTTGACATGAAATAAAAAGATATTTAATGAATGAATTGAAATTTTTCCTAATAGTCACCACATCTCTTGCAATAGTCACCTAGTTATTGCTCAAAGCTGCTACCAATTACTCCAAGTAACAACAGGAAAACTCATTATTTCAAGAATTATTTTATTTAAAAATAATTTTATCCAGAGTCGGATTTTGTAGTCAGAGTGCTCAGCTATGGAGCAGCCTGACAAAAACAGATAAAAGCACACTCAAGTTACCCTCAAAGTTAAGGTCTGTATGTGGGAGGAAGGAAAAATAAAAATATAGGGTGTCACACAGAGGGTAAAGAAGAGTATAGGGTGTTTTCTGTGATATAGGCCCAGAAGAATTAGACTTAAAATTTCTTTGAGAAAGTTTAATTTAAAAAATAGACATCACAACAAAAAGCCTCAAAAGCCAGACTGCTTCCTATCAACCCTGGTGTTTCCAGCTTTGATGAATTATTAGGCAGTGGATAAATAACCCATAGAATGAAAAGAGAGAA